CCCCGAAATATACGTCCCACTCTCAATATCTCAATGAATTTAATCATTTCGTATTCTTGAAGGGTGAACAACAATAGGTTGTATGTAGGTCCAAGTTTTGACCTAACCCACATATCAAACACCCACCACGTTTTCGGCATTTTTAAGGTTTCGGACGTATTCTCTATACTGTTGAAATATTTCGCAATATATCCATATTTTGGGCATAGCTCCAATTTATAGGTCCCGCCCCATAGTAGTCATTTTGAAGTTTTTAACCAAAATAGTGGCAGTATGTTAGCATACCAGATTCATGGAGAGAGCAAAACATTTTTGCTGAACTATTTCGATATAGATCCATATGTTTACACAAGCTCCATATAAAGATATCCGACCCATTGCGGCATTTGGAAATTTTAGACGAATTTCCTCTCCGAAGTGTCTGTAGTTTGTAAATAATCTGTGCAAAAGATTTTAGATGTAGTTTGTTTCCGGATCCGCTATAGTTTCGGTATCTTGGTTATAACCGTACTTTTCGCCGAAGTGGCTGTAATTGGCAATGTCGAAGATGGAAAACATGTTTTCTGAATAATATCGATGTGGACTTTCCTTACACATAGTCGCAACAAAAAGGAAGTCCCGCCCTATGTTTGTTATTTTAAAGTTTTAGCCGAAGTTCCCACTAAATTGGCTGTATTTTGGCTTTCCAGATTCCAGGTGAATGAAAACTTACTCCCCAGACTTTTATATCCTTTACCACACTGTGGAACAGAGTATTATGTCTTTGTGCATGTGTTTGTAACAGGCAGAAGGAAACCAGATATACCCATGCTTCCTTTTGAGAATATGTATAGAAAAACTTTCTGAGTCGATGTATGCATGTCCGTCTGCCAGCGAATGTTGAATTGTAAACAAAGTGCAGGTTGCATTTATTATCCGAATAAGAGGAAATTTTGCACAGACCTTTTATTTGCTCCATGGACGAACCCTATTGAAATTGGTGACAATAGGTTCAGATTTGGATATAGCTCCGATATATATTTTCGTCAGATTTGATATAAATTCTCCACCAAAGACCCAAATTATGACTAAATTACACAAAATTTTGCACAACGTACTGAACATAACATATGTGTATTAAGTTTATATTGAAATCGGTTCAGATTTAGATATAGCTTCCATAAATTCCGATTTTTAGTAAATTGCACACCAAAGACACACAATTTTGCACGACGTACTAAAGTAAGTATATCCTAGAGTGCACTAAGCTCTATTGAAATCTGTTCAGATTTAGATATAGCTCATATATATATATATATATCGTCCGATTTTTTTGTAAATTGTACACCAAAGACACAAAACATGACCGATTGGGACAAAATTTTGCAAAACGTACCAAAGTTAGTGTAACCTTATATGAGGCAAGATTCATTGAAATCGGTTCAGATTTGGATATACCTCCCAAATATAGTTTAGTCCGATATGTGAGTTGTGAAGTAATGACCCTAAATTAAGCCGATTTATACAACATATTATACGACGTACTGAAGCTATATACCTACAGTGGTAGAAGGCAAAATACTACAACTCCTATTTATAGACTCTGGTATTGGATTCGCAGAGCTCATTATAACGCTGTCTTCAATCAAAATCATTAAGCACCATACAAAATTGGTCCTTTACCCACACATTTGCTACATCGATCTTCCTGTCTCGTCTAGTTAATTTGACATAGTTTTAATCAGATTCCATACTTTATTATTTGTCGAATTCCTATACAATCAGTTTTACGTATTCTCAAAGATATTAAAACATGCATCAAAATAATATTAAATACTATGTAAAAATTCGATAACCATCCAGTCAATTTCATATGTACATTAGTAGTTAGTTGCCTTACCTATTAACTAAAAATCCCAATCATTCCTAATAGACATTTTAATTGGTGTAGCCCGGCTAGCATACTGCCGAAGCACAGCACATTTTCTGTCTCTGTCGCAATATCGTATATACATATTTGCCGTTTTCTTTCTTTAATTCCACTCATTTCATTTCAAATATTCCTTTTTTCTCTCTCTTTACCATGCTATTGTGGCCCCCAATGCCATAGCTATTATAAATTTTAGTCATGTTTCTAATAACTTTGAATTAATCATCTTTTCCTGTTGGTTACATGGCTGGTTTGACTTTCATTCGCCAACAATGCCGAGAACATAATTCTTAGACATCTACATACATACATACACATGAATGTACACAGCAGTGTGGAATATATATTCTTTAATAAATCCACGCCTCAGTTGGCCCTTGAAAAATATTCTTTAATAAATCCACGCCTCAGTTGGCCCTTGAAAATAATATTCTTTAATAAATCCACGCCTCAGTTGGCCCTTGAAAAATATTCTTTAATAAATCCACGCCTCAGTTGGCCCTTGAAAAATATTCTTTAATAAATCCACGCCTCAGTTGGCCCTTGAAAAATATTCTTTAATAAATCCACGCCTCAGTTGGCCCTTGAAAAATATTCTTTAATAAATCCACGCCTCAGTTGGCCCTTGAAAAAATATTCTTTAATAAATCCACGCCTCAGTTGGCCCTTGAAAAATATTCTTTAATAAATCCACGCCTCAGTTGGCCCTTGAAAAATATTCTTTAATAAATCCACGCCTCAGTTGGCCCTTGAAAAATATTCTTTAATAAATCCACGCCTCAGTTGGCCCTTGAAAAATATTCTTTAATAAATCCACGCCTCAGTTGGCCCTTGAAAAATATTCTTTAATAAATCCACGCCTCAGTTGGCCCTTGAAAAATATTCTTTAATAAATCCACGCCTCAGTTGGCCCTTGAAAAATATTCTTTAATAAATCCACGCCTCAGTTGGCCCTTGAAAAATATTCTTTAATAAATCCACGCCTCAGTTGGCCCTTGAAAAATATTCTTTAATAAATCCACGCCTCAGTTGGCCCTTGAAAAATATTCTTTAATAAATCCACGCCTCATTGGCCCTTGAAAAATATTCTTTAATAAATCCACGCCTCAGTTGGCCCTTGAAAAATATTCTTTAATAAATCCACGCCTCAGTTGGCCCTTGAAAAATATTCTTTAATAAATCCACGCCTCAGTTGGCCCTTGAAAAATATTCTTTAATAAATCCACGCCTCAGTTGGCCCTTGAAAAATATTCTTTAATAAATCCACGCCTCAGTTGGCCCTTGAAAAATATTCTTTAATAAATCCACGCCTCAGTTGGCCCTTGGCCCTTGAAAAATATTCTTTAATAAATCCACGCCTCAGTTGGCCCTTGAAAAATATTCTTTAATAAATCCACGCCTCAGTTGGCCCTTGAAAAATATTCTTTAATAAATCCACGCCTCAGTTGGCCCTTGAAAAATATTCTTTAATAAATCCACGCCTCAGTTGGCCCTTGAAAAAATATTCTTTAATAAATCCACGCCTCAGTTGGCCCTTGAAAAATATTCTTTAATAAATCCACGCCTCAGTTGGCCCTTGAAAAATATTCTTTAATAAATCCACGCCTCAGTTGGCCCTTGAAAAATATTCTTTAATAAATCCACGCCTCAGTTGGCCCTTGAAAAATATTCTTTAATAAATCCACGCCTCAGTTGGCCCTTGAAAAAATATTCTTTAATAAATCCACGCCTCAGTTGGCCCTTGAAAAATATTCTTTAATAAATCCACGCCTCAGTTGGCCCTTGAAAAATATTCTTTAATAAATCCACGCCTCAGTTGGCCCTTGAAAAATATTCTTTAATAAATCCACGCCTCAGTTGGCCCTTGAAAAATATTCTTTAATAAATCCACGCCTCAGTTGGCCCTTGAAAAATATTCTTTAATAAATCCACGCCTTAGTTGGCCCTTGAAAAATTCTTTAATAAATCCACGCCTCAGTTGGCCCTTGAAAAATATTCTTTAATAAATCCACGCCTTAGTTGGCCCTTGAAAAAATATTCTTTAATAAATCCACGCCTTAGTTGGCCCTTGAAAAAATATTCTTTAAAAATCCACGCCTTATTGGAGCCTTGAAATATTCTTTAAAAATCCACGCCTTATTGGAGCCTTGAAATATTCTTTAAAAATCCACGCCTTATTGGAGCCTTGAAATATTCTTTAAAAATCCACGCCTTATTGGAGCCTTGAAATATTCTTTAAAAATCCACGCCTTATTGGAGCCTTGATTCTTTAATAAAATATTCTTTAATAAATCCACGCCTTATGGGAGCCTTGAAAAAGTATTATTTAATAAATCCACGCCTTATGGGAGCCTTGAAAAAATATTCTTTAATAAATCCACGCCTTATGGGAGCCTTGAAAAAGTATTCTTTAATAAATCCACGCCTTCGGGAGCCTTAAAAAATATTCTTTAATAAATCCACGCCTTATGGGAGCCTTGAAAAAATATTCTTTAATAAATCCACGCCTTATGGGAGCCTTGAAAAAATATTTTTTTAATAAATCTTAGCCCTTTGGCGACCTTTGAATAAAATTCAAAAATGAAACACAATATTTTTTTCATTTTGCATCATTAAAATATATAACTTAATTTGTTTATTTTTATTATTTAATACAATAAATATCTTTGGTACATTCTGTTTTTGGTTTTTTGATTTTTAATACTTCATACATAAATACAATGTTAAACATATTTTTAATAAATTTACAACATATTTTATTTTTAGTTTCTTTTTAAGTGAATTATTTTATCCAGCCCTGTTAAAAAATTCACTTATAGCACGAATTTTCTATTCTATAGAACTGAAAAAATTATGGCACTAATTTGACTTGATTCTGTAATTAATTTTTTTGTAATTTTTTTCTTCTTCTTTCTGTATTATTTCAGTTTATATAAAATCCAATTTAGTTGTTTATTTTTTTATTATTTACAAAGTTTTCCCTAGGATCGTTCATGTTCCAAGTTTTGTGGTTGTTTGTGTATTTTTTCAATAAAATTTCCTTTAATTTGTCATTTTCATATTGAAAAAATAATCCAAATCGTTATTTTGCTCATCAGAATTTGAATCATGTGTGGCGCCCGAATGATTTTCATCGGTGTGATGGTCGTCATCAAATTCATGTTTATCGAATAAAGCCTTGATGGCCTTGTCGACGGGATTACCACTTTCGGAATTTTTATCAGCTTCGTGTATTAGCTTAACGGCTTGTTTCAATTCGTTTTTACCCAATTGTTGTTGTTGCTGTTTCTGCAGACTAGATGTTTTATTTTCCGATTTGTCGAGACTTTTTCCGAAACGCATAAAATCACTTGATTGAGCAGGAGTTCGACCGAAACGCATAAAATTATCGGGTCTACCGAAACGCATGAAATCTTGGCTACCAGGGGTACGGCCAAATCGCATAAAATCTTGTCCCTGGGCTCTACCAAATCTCATGAAATCCTGTCCCTGGGCTCTACCAAATCTCATAAAATCTTGTCCACCTGGGGTACGACCAAATCTCATAAAATCTTGTCCTGGGGCACGGCCAAATCGCATAAAATCTTGTCCTTGAGCACGACCGAATCTCATGAAATCCTGACCCGAAGCACGACCAAATCTCATAAAATTAGGGTTGCGGCCGAATCTCATAAAGTCCTGCCCGGCTGATCTACCAAATCGCATAAAATTATCCTGGCCAGCCCGACCGAAACGCATGAAGTCATTATTGCCCGATGCACGGCCAAAACGCATAAAGTTATCATCATTACCGCTACCGCCCGCCGAACGTCCAAAACGCATGAAATTATCACCTCGTGAATCTCGTATGACCTGATGATTGCTAACAAAATCCATGCGACCCATGGGATTTTTATCCGCCAGACCATTACGGCTTAGAGCCGGATAACTTTCATATGAACGTTTGCCCCAACGCATAGCATTCTCCTGCAGCGATCGTAATCTCTTCATTTCTTCCGGGTCAAGTTTATTTAAAATTTTGGGTGATGGATTTTGAAACCGCAGAATGATAGAATTACGCAAATGATCAATACTGACCCATTGTATGGGTTTGGGAAATTGCATTTCGGTTTCATCATCTATGGTCTGTATCAAGGGGGTGTTGTCGGTATTTTGTCCGGTCAGCTGGTTATCCTCCTCTTGACTGTTTGGTGAGTCTGTTTCCGTTTCACTTGTCAGTTCATTAGAGGGTCCTTGAGAAAAATCGGGATAATTATCGTGTAGTGTATTGGTATTTGAAGGATTCCCAATGTAGGCCCAAGATGTGGTGTGACACAGTTGGAGGGACAACAACAAAATGAGCAGGGGTGCCACCATGGTAATAGCTGAAATTAGAGAGGGATAAAAAGGGATAAGTAAATTAAAAAAATAAACAAATTTGTTAGAGAATATTGTAAAGGTCTAAAGGTTTTTTAAAGTATATTTTTTAAACCCCAAATGAGGCATGGGGTTTTAAAGATTATTTTTTCAAGGTCCAAAAAAGACGCTGATTTTATAAAGAATATTTTTTCAACTCCTACAAAAGGCTTGTTTTTTAAGAATATTTTTTATGGTCTGAAAGAGGCATGGATTTATTAAAGATGACTTTTTCAAGGCTCCCACAAGGCGTAGATTTATTAAAGATGACTTTTTCAAGGCTCCCATAAGGCGTGGATTTATTAAAGATGACTTTTTCAAGGCTCCCATAAGGCGTGGATTTTTTAAAGATGACTTTTTCAAGGCTCCCATAAGGCGTGGATTTTTTAAAGATGACTTTTTCAAGGCTCTCATAAGGCGTGGATTTATTAAAGATGACTTTTTCAAGGCTCCCATAAGGCGTGGATTTATTAAAGATGACTTTTTCAAGGCTCCCACAAGGCGTGGATTTATTTAAGATGACTTTTTCAAGGCTCCCACAAGGCGTGGATTTGTTTAAGATGACTTTTTCAAGGCTCTCATAAGGCGTGGATTTGTTTAAGATGACTTTTTCAAGGCTCCCACAAGGCGTGGATTTGTTTAAGATGACTTTTTCAAAGCTCCACAAGGCGTGGATTTATTAAAGATGACTTTTTCAAGGCTCCCATAAGGCGTGGATTTATTAAAGATGACTTTTTCAAGGCTCCCACAAGGCGTGGATTTATTAAAGATGACTTTTTCAAGGCTCCCACAAGGCGTGGATTTATTAAAGAATACTTTTTCAAGGCTCCCATAAGGCGTGGATTTATTAAAGAATACTTTTTCAAGGCTCCCATAAGGCGTGGATTTATTAAAGAATACTTTTTCAAGGCTCCCACAAGGCGTGGATTTATTAAAGATGACTTTTTCAAGGCTCCCACAAGGCGTGGATTTATTAAAGAATACTTTTTCAAGGCTCCCACAAGGCGTGGATTTATTAAAGAATACTTTTTCAAGGCTCCCATAAGGCGTGGATTTATTAAAGAATACTTTTTCAAGGCTCCCACAAGGCGTGGATTTATTAAAGAATACTTTTTCAAGGCTCCCACAAGGCGTGGATTTATTAAAGATGACTTTTTCAAGGCTCCCACAAGGCGTGGATTTATTAAAGAATACTTTTTCAAGGCTCCCACAAGGCGTGGATTTATTAAAGAATACTTTTTCAAGGCTCCCATAAGGCGTGGATTTATTAAAGAATACTTTTTCAAGGCTCCCACAAGGCGTGGATATATAAAATAATATTTTTTCAAGGCTCCCACAAGGCGTTGATATATAAAATAATATTTTTTCAAGGCTCCCACAAGGCGTTGATATATAAAATAATATTTTTTCAAGGCTCTTATAAGGCGTTGATATATAAAATAATATTTTGTAAGGCTCTTCTAAGGCGTTGATATATAAAATAATATTTTGTAAGGCTCTTCTAAGGCGTTGATATGTAAAATAATATTTTTTCTTACAGGCTTCCAGGGCGTGAATTTTGTTTCAAGGCTAACAACATCCACACAAAATTTGTAACTCATGGTCAGGATCCGCTTCTCAGTTTTATTAAATTCATTAAATACCTCCAAGTATCATCAAAATTATGAAATCGAAATGTAAACGACAACATTACATCTCATAATATTCAATGACACATGAGGCTACCAAATAAACCTACCGAGGGTAATTGTGAATAGCAACAACAAAAACAAAACATTTAAGTACCAACATTTTTTTAATTTTTTTTTTTTTGTCATTTTCAGTTTTACAGCCTAAAAACCTGACCAGTGTGACTTTTATGACATTTGACTATGCGACAATGTATAGAAGGAAGGACAAACACGTTGTATACATTTTGTAAACAAAATTACGGTGTAATAGGTCAAAGTTTCTGGTAAAAAAAAAATAATTTCATCATTTGAAGTCAATTGCTAGATCTTGATTTAGAGAGAGTCCTTCCTAGTTTTATACCATTTACCACACTGTGGTACAGGGTATTATGTCTTTGTGCATATGTTTGTAACAGGCAAAAGGAGACGAGATAGGCCCATGGTTTCTTTTGAGAATATGCATAGAATCACCTTTTGAGTCGATTTATGCATGTCCGTCCGATCACCCGTCCGTCTATTGATTTTAAATTGTAAACAAATTACAGATCGCATTTATGATCCGATTTGGATGAAATTTGGAATAGGTCACTTATTTGGCCCAAGGACGAACCCTATTCAAATTGAGAAAAATCTATTCAGATTTAGACATAGCTCCCATATATATGTTCGTCCGATTTAATGTAAATGGTCCACCAAAGTCCCTATATATCTTTCGATTTGCATGAAATTTGGCACAGCGTAATGAATTAGGTCTAGAATTATATGTGTTAAGTTTTGTGAAAATCGGTTCAGATTTAGATATAGCTCCCTTATATATTTTCATCCGATTTAAAGTAAATGGTGCGCCAATGCCCCTAAATATCATTCGATATGCATGAAATTTGGTATAGCCATCTGAATTTAGTCTAGAATGATGTGTGTAAAGTTTTGTGAAAATCGGTTCAAATTTAGATATATCTCCCATATATATTTTCGTCCGATTTCGGTCGCCAAAGTCCCTAACATATTTCGATTTGCGCGAAATTTGGCACAGCGTATTGAATTAAGTCTGGAATGATGTATGCTAAGTTTCGTGAAAATCGGTTCAGATTTAGATATAGCTCCCATATATATTTTTGTCCGATTTAAGGTAAATGGTGCGCCAAAGTCCCTAAATATCTTTTGATATGCATGAAATTTGGTATAGCCTACTGGATTTAGTCTAGAATGATGTGTGTTAAGTTTTGTAAAAATCGGTTCATATTTAGATATAGCTCCCATATATATTTTCATCCGATTTTAGGTAAATGGTGAACAAATTTGGTATAGCTTACTGAATGAAGTCTAGAATGATGTGTGCTAAGTTTCGTGAAAATCGGTTCAGATTTAGATATATCTGCCACTTATATATTTTCGTCCGATTTTAGGTAAGTGTTGCACCAAACTCCTAATGATTGTCCGATTGACACGAAATTTTGTACAACGTATCCAACTGAGACTAGAATGATTGCTTTTTTTGGTGTAATGGGTGCAGATGCAGGCATAGCTTCCATATATATTTCGAACGGGTGTCTGATTGATATTACCGAATAGTGTGTATCAAGTGTGCTATAAATCGATTTACACAAATTTGCCCCATTGAAATTTAGCATAGGTTGCCGAAAGGCATGTGTGTGAATTGATGTATCATTTTTTTTTTTTAATTTTGAATGGAATTTTAAAAGAAGTTGAGAATTTCCATATGTTGAATATACCCAAAGTGGTGAAGGGTATCATATAGTTGGTCCAGCCCGACTTTACTACTTTCTATACTGTATATTTTTTTCTTGAATCCAAATGGACTCCTACACAACTATGTTGTCAGGGTATTATAGCTTTGTGCAGCCCCAAGAGTTTCTAACGCTGCGAAATATTGATCCTAGACCCACTTTTAAGTATACGGATCGTCATATCTCGACTAGCTGCGGAAATATAGCGCTGACCGCTTTGAAATGTTCCATGAAGTTCCAGGTATGGTCAAATACAACGCCTATAATTTTCGTTGATGGTCAGATAATAATTTTGGGATGAAGTGGACCGAAAACTTATTTTTTGTGTTTTTTTTTCGATTCGATCTATAGCCCACAACAGAAAGCCGAACATCACAACACAATCCACGGTGAAGGGAATGTGGACAAGTAATTAGAAGGGCTGTACTGAATATTGGTAATATTCGGAAAATATGTCAGTGTAAGGAAGAGGTGCTTTTGGCCTCTAATCGGGCAAGAGGGTGCAACTAACACGAAATATTAACCAGGCTCGGAATAAAAATCCGCAGAAAGATAGAGTTCTGTGGTAGTTGTGTAGGGTATCGTATGGTCGGTCGCGTCCCACTATACTGCTCCGCTCACAGGTTTTTACTAATTTCATGGACATTATTTATGGCCACCTTGTAATCTATAAAAATTCTAATAAAAATGCCAATGTATTCCAAGTTACAGTGGTCAACTTATGGGATTTTTAGTAGCTATTAACGACCTCTTCGTATTATCATTAACATTTTGAATGTAGCTTCTGTTTGTTGTACTAATCTGCATAATGACTAGATTTTTTGGTAAAAATATGTTAATAATGTTGTTAATATGTAAATATTAGAGAAATTGTTTAAGAAGGCTTTACAAATTTACAATTTGGTCAGAATTTAAGTGGGAATAATTTTTAAAAGTAATTTAAAGAAATCGGAAAAAATTAAAGTTCAAATTCTAACCCATGGCAAATCTGGGTTTTCTTTCGGGCAATCAATTTTTCGTCCCCAGATCCTTAGCTCGATGTTGGTGCATAGTCTACACATGCTGGGTCTATGTATTTTTTACGTCTTAATCGTAACCCCTTTAGGTCATAAAGGAAATGTAATTTTTTCCCCTATACCAAACTACGAATTATGAAACAATCAAAAGTGATAATAATAATAACCACACCAACAACAACAAAAATACTTTTAACTGTTTTACATGTAATTTAAGCTATTTAATTATTTACTAGTAAATGTGAGTGAACTAGCCAACCAGCCAATGAAACGCGTGTTTGGTTTTAACGGCCCGGCTTACTCACAGCTCTGCTCTGTGGTAATTGTAGTTTTCCATAATAGGCTCAGCTACCCGCTGGCTAATGTCGTCATAAAGTGTTATAATTACCCCATTATTATTATTTTTTATTTACTTTTTTTTTGTAATCCAATTGTTTATTGTTTTCTTGCTAAATAAGTAGGCAAGGCCGAATCTATATTGTCTTAATAAGCGATAGAGGAATATTGTCATTTTTATGAAAATAAAT